AAAAAAAAAAAAAAAAAAAAAAAAAGATAATGGTAATCGTCAATGGTAATAGTGTAGCATTCCACTATTCCGTTTTTCTAATAGACGGAAACGTCGTTGACGCGTGACGTCATACCAGACTTTAATCAGAATAATATTCATGCGACGGATAACGTAATAAATGACACGTCTTACGATCTTCGTAATCTTTTCAAGCTCGAGATCTCGAGGTGACCAACATACAAGAGATGGAGCAGAGAATTAATAGGATAAAATTGGAAGAGGAAATGGCACCAACCATCAAAAGAGAGTGCTGTCAAAGAGATGAACACGGTATCGTTTAAGTTAATTGGAGCCAAACGGCGAAATAGAATTCTCGTGAAACTTTTTGGAAATGAAGTAAAAACATTGGTTTCCTCTGTTTATTTCTTCGTACGCGATAATGGAAATTGTTTCAGTTTTAATGGTCGTGTTCAAGTCTTTCCATTTGATTCGGACGTTTATTTAATTTTACTTGGATTAGATCATAGACGCTTGCTAGATAAATTGCAAATTGTATATACTATTCTCTCTGAATTACAGAATCAAATTTTTAGAGAACTGTTTAAAGTTAAATTAATCAATCTCCAGAAAATCAACGAGATTGATACCAGAGATTGACCCAAAGCTTTTGCTAGCTTTCTGAAGAATGTTGATTACTTCGTAGGATCGTAGAGGATTCTTGTTTTTAGAAAATAAACATGATCTTGATCTTTAGGGATTAAACATTCAGTGACAGAAATTATTTTTAACCGTTAGACGTGTCTTATAATATCACGAGGTTTTTATGTTTTTCATTCTACGATCAACCGAATGATCTCATGTTCACCGATAATCAAGATTGAACAATGCAATCGCTAGAAGATAACACTCCGATTAACGCGTTTATCTGTATGGACAATATTTGCCGCAGTTATGGTTGATTTATCCGTTATAATTTCTTCTTTATACACGCCAAGATTTACAAAGGCAATAATATTACAACGTCGTAGTAATAATCATATCTACATTAGCGACGTAGTTTCTTTCAACGTTATGCAAATTTTGTTAACTTGAACCAAGTATAATCTGAAGGATTATTTTGCTCTGATTGTCGGGATTGAACCGGTTTTTTTTATACGTGCATCACCGACAAGAAACTTGAAATCCTTTCCTTAATTTATATATATTAAATTGCTAATAATTCTACGTATTAGAAACTGAGGATCTTTCTGCCAAAAGGAATCCCGTACTCCATTTTTAGTCGAAAGTGTTTCTGTAAATTCATGATACATGATAATAATCAATCTAAGATTGTACTTACTACTGAGAGAGAAGACTTCTGATGGCGATACACCGATCATTCGAAGGAACTCGTCAACCGAATTAATTTTCTTCACTATTTGCGATGACCGCGACCGCTGAAAGTAATAAGGGCATTTTTTTTTTTTTCTAAAAAAAGACGTAATTCGTGGAAAAGTTTTGACGTTTTCGTTATCAGATTGTCTTTCTTTCCGTTATCGCGATTAGTAAATACTGTAACTGATAGTGATAAAATGGTGAAACGCCAATGAAATTGATTAAAAAGCTCCGTTACACAATAATTTATCAATTAGCAGTTAATTAATCATCAAGTTGTAAGTATTTTTTCACAATTTTACAATATTACATCACACAGGATAGTCAAAAGCTTGAGATACATTTCGTTTCGTTTCATTGTCAAACTTGTTGATATACTGTGAAAAAATTTATTAACAGATTAATAATTCGTAACTTGTTATCTTGGAAAATACGAGAAAAAAGATTGTCGTTGTTGCATTCTTGGCGAACACACGATCGTTACGTGGAAACAGTTTTAGTGACAAAGGACATGCTAATCAGGCATTTTTCAGTTAATTTTACCTTACAGAAATTCCCAATGTTTTTCCTATGCATATCAAGGAAATATTGAAACGAGACAACTGTCATATACCTGTGTATCGTGTATTATTGTTCTAAACAATGCGCCAAGATCTTTCGTTTGGGGTATATGACATCGAAAAATAGTTGTTGCGTTATCGTTCGACTTTTTTTTGAGTCAGTCAGTTAAATGAAAATTGATTGAAGAAAATGCACGAATGCAGGAATCTCGATGTCATAATCGGGGTATTCCCGCTAGTAGCTTATCGATGAGTCATCGAATGCGATTATAGGCGCTCCTGTAATCTAATTATAAAATGATTTGAGGTCAGTCATCCGGGAAATGACAAAAAAGAGATTGGTCCTTCGTCGTAGATGCAAAAATTTAGAAATGTTTTTGTGTTTCGCCACTGACTTGTGATGAACCTGGTTTCTCAACCACCCGCTTGCCTTCTCGTCTGAAAACAGGTTTCGAACCCATTTAGAAGAATCTTACTTTTTGGTGTTAACGTACTGTTTCGGCAGACACGATTTCTTCTTCTTCTTCTTCTTTTTTTTTTTTTAATAAACGTTTCAGAGGTGGATTTGTCATGTGTTGTTTGGTTACTGCAGTTGTCCCACTTGCGTCGATAAATTCGTGTCGATCTGGCGTGTCAGCTGAAGTACGTGGATATTTCCTCAGGTGCGGTGGGTATCGGTAACTGTACGGCAAACACTTTAATAAACAGATTACGCACGTCCCGATTAGCATAGCTAAGAAGTCGAAGACATTGTACTTTCCAAGAACTGCTGTCTCTTGGCGCCTTGCAGGAATTTCACGGCGACTTTTAAAGGTCGTCTGTTACGCTTGGCGTCAAGGTCGGTCGTATAACCCTATTGCAGCAGTGAAATAGTACTCTCCCTGTAGTATAGGATGATCGCGTCGTGGCCAAGCAAATGTGCTATTATCTTGGCGAAATAATTATTTATCGCCATCTTGTGCGCAGGTAGTAGATTTCACCTTGCAACGTTCGCGGCGTGCAGCTGTTTTTTAAATCGTAACCTAAATTTCTCTTTGCTTTTGCGGGCCACGAATTAGTCAGCGATAGAGAGACGCAAACATAAGATTCTCTTAAATCAATTTCGTTTCGTATGTTGTGTACGAATTTTACAATTTGCCACGGTCACTTTGATGAAAATCAGCGGTGTGTCGCAAGATAATCGGCTAGGTATTCGCACGGACGTCAAGTGACGTGTAATCGATTATCTATACACATCGAATGGCGATCACTGTGACGGGAATCGTAAGCGCGCCGTGCACCACCGAGGTTTTTTACTTTTCAATCTCGGTCTGCTCGCCTGCTTGATACCTGCTTCTCGCGTAATATCCTTGACATTAGTGTTAGACGGCCTTCAGATCTTTATGGGAAAAGCAATCGCGCTCCCGTTTGCAAGGATGTCGTAATATTTAAGGAACTGCTAACGTCTTTCATTTCGACTGTTGCCTACGTTAACGAGCGTGCGATGGAGATAATGGAAAATAGGGTACGGCACGCTGACAAAACCGAAGCGAATGACCAACTTCCGCACAATTTACCTTAGAATACAAGTATCGTTTTTTTTTTTTCGTATTACACGTACCTCACGATTTTTTATGATAAATGCGTTTCGTTGACTGACAAAGTTTACATATTCACAAAGTTTAACAGCGTAACGTAACGTTGATGAATCGACTGACCTACATAATGTATTAAACGTACACCGATAAAAAATACCCAGCTAAGGCCGTACCAAGCTAAGACTGGTACCTTCTTTTTTTTTTTTTTGCGCACGAAACAATCGAATTAATTTTTAAACATCACCGCACGTCTGCCACGTACGCTCTTTACAATGCTCCGCGGGATAACATAATTGCGCTATTTATCAGAGTGAAAACGTGGGAGTGTTGCAACGCGCGACTCGTGAACAGACACTCGCGTTCCGCTCGTTAAATACCAAATAACGAGTAAACGCTTTCGAATCCATTCGATAAAACGTGCGACGGATTATTTATTTACCAGTAATGCGGCGTTGTGTGCTGCTGCCGGCTCGACTGGAGGACTTAACGCTCTCGGACTGATTTGGTCAGGGAATACAATGTCGTCCTTCTGGGACGTCACCAATCCACAGAAAATCACGAGAACGAGTGTTCTGCATGTGACGAGACGCGACATTTTTCTTGTCTTTGGAGTCAAGTTTTAGTCAATATTTTTGATCTTCGAACCATATAAAATCGTAACGCGCTCGGTTCTTTGCAAACTTGATACGTTCTCGATACGCCGATAAATAAATAGTTTTAAACGCCGACAGTTACGAGGAACAATAATCTCACGTGTTTACGTGACGCTCGGTCTCGCTGGCATTGCACTTAAAACCGCCGTTCCCGATGCACGAGGAAAACGCGAGGAAGTCGCACCTGAGCAGGTTCGTGTGCCCGCGCTGCGATCGACTGCCGAAGCGAGTACGCCTCTCGCGTATTTCTGGCCACACACACGCAAACGACGCACCGCGCGTCGCGTTCACGTACGAATCATAGAGCGCACGACTTCGCTATAACATCGTAAGTAATGCTATCACTTCCGATACGCGCAAACTACCGATCATTGTCGCGATGACATTTCACGAACGTGGGGCGTTATCTCGTCGGGGAGACGAAATGATTTTTCTGAACATTCGTTACATTGTAATGAGTCACTGAGTCGTAACGTGACAGCTCTGACACCTTGAACGCGTGTTCGCGATGCGTTGATAGCCGTGCACGTTGCTCGCTAAAATTTTCAGCGATTATTACCGGGGCTAACTTGCAACGTGGGCGATGAATTTGCATGCGTGACGAAACTATCCCGAGATTGCCCTCCATATCGCAAGCATCCAAGATGCTAATTTATTTAAACAGAAGGACAATGTGCAGATGATGGATGTGCAAAGTCATCAGACTCGATGCGTGTTCAGTTTATTTTGATTTTAATTCTTCTTGTGAGCATTTTTCTCGTTGCCGAGATTTCAAGTGAGTTCCGTTACGAGAAGAACGATTTTATTGTCGAGGTTGCAAGCCAAGGGAGCGCAGCCATTTTACTCTTAGTAGAGTAACAAATTGCTCGATAAATTTCTAAAGATTCTCGCGTGCGATGCACTTCCTGATCGCGGTGTGTTTGAAAGTAAATATAATTGGATTGTTGATTAACACGCAACGATTGGTTAAAAAAAAGAAAAAGTGGACTTTATCATCGATATATATCGTTATTTATTTTACATCTTTACATCAAATGGAAAATAAGTTGGAAAAGATACGCCGTTGATTAATTTCTCACGCATCCAAAAAGATTCCAGTTACATAGTTGCTTGGAGATACGCTGTTTATCTAGATTTTACTGCAACAAAACGAAGATAATCCGCAATTGCAACAGATTTCAAAAAAGATTTTACAATCTCTGAAATTCTGAGTAACTGAACAATTTACCGTTTTAGGTCGCAAGCGATATGATTTTCCTACAGCCTAGGTTACGAACGTATCTGTATCCCGGTGGACATTCTTTTGTACCAGTATTTTTCCTTTTTGGGAAAGTAAGAGGTCTTGATTCACTTGTAACGATGAAAACGCACAGCAAAACGGCGAAGATAATGAGACGTAACGGTGACATCGCGTTCACACAGATTACAAACTATGAATCGATATGACTTTCTTAGATCGTTTTGCTTTTTAGCAAGCTATCGTCGAACCAAAAGTCGGACACTAGCGGAATGCAAATACACATAAAATACATTGCTTTTATTCCAATTCCCCTTCTACCTTTCATTTTGTTCGCACTAATTTGCGGTTACCATTCGTATCCGGATTACGCACATTGCGGTTTCTATTTGATAATTACGCACGGTCGTTTCAGGTTAATTATTACCAACAGACAAATTTTTTAGACATAGTTGTGTTACAAGTTTCATCAATAAATTTATTTGATACTTTGTTTAACAGGAGGAATCGTGAATTATTACAATACTAAAGTCATTCGTAATAGATTGTTTTTTTACTGATGTTAAACACATATTGCAATAATTAGTTGTAATAATTTTTGTAATAATTGTTTAATAATTGTAATAATTAGTTGTAATAATTAGTTGTAATAATTGTTTTTTACTGATGTTAAACACATATTGCAATAATTAATTGTAATTTTTTGTAATTTACAACTAATTAATAGTAGCAAATTACAAAAAAGTATTACAGTTCGTAGTATTTTGTAAATTAATTGCATACAGGAAATTGAAATTCGCATCAAAGACTCCTTTATCTTGTACAGATTACTTATCTCTGTACGTTAAGTTAGATTCCATTATGTTTTACCGACGATGAATGATTTATGATTGCAGATTAGCGATTTAATCACAAATCATAATCGAGGCTTATTGCAGAATAAAATAAAAATATTGTTCGATTCACTTTCCACTTTCACGTTCGACGAAAATTTTGATCGCATTACGAACAGACGATAAAGCGATTCCCTATCTTTGATAATCACGCGTAAATTGATAATTTCAATTTTTCGAGATCGAGTGTGTATTTATATCGTATCGATATTCTTTTACTTGATTCGTGTTGTATTTTTAGCTTAATCCACAGTTGTTTTTTGAGTTTCCCTCTAGAATCGCTATTTCACTCATACGATAATCACCATCCACGTTCCACGCACTTCTTTACCGACGTTGCGCTCAGAGAAGAATTCTATGGCGATTTCAGTGAAACGACTCGAGAATTCTTTGTCGCATCACGTAGAAATGATTAAGACCTCGATATCGATTGGTGGGAACGATTTCTTATTACAAATGGCATCTGAAATCAATTCGAGCAGAAATTAAGAGTTTATCGCTGCTGCTGTGGTGTTCGTAATTCTAAGTATAGTCGATGGTCGTTCGTTACATGACTTCATAGAAAACTCTCTAATCTCTATCTTTGTGGAAGATTAGTTAACCGAATGATCATCTCTCCGTCTTTATCTCACAAAGTACGTACGTCGAATAAAATTTTTACTCACTTAAAAGATAGCTCTGCAACGATTCCCGATTCTCACTCTGTCCGGTGGACAATTGACCGGGACATTGATGAAGGATCCTTTGTGAATGTTGTTGGTTTGATTGTTGTCGGTTTGGAACGGCACGAACTTCTTTTGTTCCTTCGGTGGCGTTGAATTCCCGACGATCACGTGGAAGGATAGAAACAAGACGAACGCCATCGCCAGTACGATCCATGCGAGTCTCATGGTTGCAGAACGATGCGAGATTCGACTTTGGTTTCTAGTTTGATCGAATCTATCTCTGAACGGTTGGAGTTACGCCGCGATCTCGAACGATTGTTGGAACGGATAAGCGGTAGAAATCGACAAGAGCAGAGTTCCGAAAGCAAAGTTGCTCGCGCAACGCAATTGAGCGCGACCAATGACACACTCGTGCGAAAATTTTTATGATCTTTTCACTGGCGTGGCGAGACGTGCTCTATCATCGTCGAGTTTACACTACACTACAACATTCGCATTCCGCCTGTTTACACTACGTCGAATTGTATATATTAACAATGCGATCGCGTTAACTCGTCGTTACCATCTCGTCAGGCGTACAAACGTCACGCTGTAAATCGGAAAACTCGTCGTCGAGAAGCGTTGTCTCTCGGAGCGTCGTGTGAGAAGATGGTGTTATCAGTACGGCGAGTATCGATGGTAATAATAAACCGTGTTATCGTGCGCGATACTCAAGATTATTAGCTTCTGGGACCAGGGACAGGGCATCGTTTCGAATGGTACCTCTTGATCTCTCCGGGAGGGAAGATAATTCGGCCCCGGCGCGATAAGTCTCCTCACCGTTTATCTCCAAACCTTCCTGCATTTGCCACGTCGATCCACTTTTTCTCCCGCCGCGCAAATCTTCTTTCGCCGGGGAACCATTATTATGCTACTCTCCGCCTTTACGCCGCCGTCCGTGGAATTCTCATCGTTTCCTCCTCGCGTGTAGTCTGAGGCAGGAATTGATCGATCGTTCGAGTTTATCAGAGTCTGAATGGATGTGACGATATTTTCAACGGACCAACCGCTGACAAGAAGAAGCTGAACGAGAAACAGGGCGAGCACCGCGTCCCAATAGCGCATCGTCTTACGATCAAATTCGTAGCCGTGCGACTTTCACTCTCTATTCCCAACGAAATTCACTTTTTATTGGTAACACTCGTGAGCGGGAACTGGCAACAGAGTCTCTCCGTCGCCAACGAACGATTATCACCGACAGAATCGAACGGCCCGGCATTCGTTTTATTATTAACGCGCCTCGGTTTGCCACTAAGCGCCAACTCGCTCGGCGCCAGCGTTTCGTTTTCATTCACTCGCGATAACCTTTGGTGACATTTTTCAGAATTCCGATTGAGCGCCAAGACCGACCGGTTTTTTTATTTTCAAGTACGCGGCGCGCGCGCATTCCTTGCTCAACGATCATCGTTTCATTCATGTCGAGTGTGACATTTTTCTATCTATGAAATGGTGAAATCCATGAAATTTTCCATCCGCACAGTGTTACGTAACACCACGGTACAAAACACAGTCGTGTTGTATCAGATATATCGTGTTATTTACCGGTTTTTTTTTCGCCAAATTGCGAGAACTTATTCTAGGGGCCAAGAAGAAAAAACTGTTATACGAAGATTGCGAATTAACGCTTTGTTACAGAGATGTGATCAAAAAATAGAAACTTAGTATTTTACCGGGTTTCAGTATTTCAGTCATTCCTTCTCTTTGCACGAGCCAGTTTCATAATTGGAAACGAGTGTTGATAAACACAGATCTATCCGATATCCTTGTAACTACGAAAACCATACGATAAATATTATAAATTTACCTATTTACTTTGAAACAAAAGATTTACTCGACCGAATTGACTTCATACGAAGATCTATTCTCAGTTGAAATGCAACAAGATACCGAGACACTGCACAGAGCAATAAATTCAGTTTTGCAGGTGGACATCATTTTGAAATGAGACTTTAAAAATAGTCAGTAACTATTTATTATTATTTGTTTATATCTCCTTAACAAAGCGTTAATTCGCAAACTTTCATATAAGAATTTCCTTTTTTTTCTTCTTCTTTTGGCCACTGGAATAAGCTCTCGCAGTTTGGCGGGAAAAATCCGGAACACCTTGTATATTTGATGTTTCAGAAATAAGAAACACAGCATTCAGCCGTGGCGATAACCTTTTTTGATGTTCCGATTTTCCCGAGCAATTTTCCCTCTTGCCCCCGGAAACAGTTTAAACCACTTCCTTCCCTCTACTAACCAGCCTCTCTTCACCGTGTTTTTTTTCTGTTATACCCGGTGATTTCGTTAAACAATCGGATCGATTCGTGGCGCCATCGCGCGTTTGCCGCGAAAGCAATAAAATGGTCGGCGCGTTCGTTGCGTCGCGCGAGACGATGACCGTGTCAATCGTAACGTCGTTACCATACAGACTGTATGTTATACAGATTCATATTTTACGATTATCGATCGATGATTCATTCACGTATCGCGAAAACGGAGTTACAATCACGGATCTCGGTAGTCGAGCCAGAGAGAATGACGCATCCGAAGTCACGATTGAAGCACGCAACTGACTTTGAACTTTTGTTGCAATCTGTATAATTTCCAGTCCACCGAATGTGAATACCGAGGCGCTTTGTTTCGACCGTCAACGAGTCACCGGTGGATTTTTTTATTATTTTTTCTTTTTTTCCTTTTTCTTGTGACTTTGACGAACGGATAAACGTACGAGTCACGTACGTGTGTCATTAGAATCGGCGACGCCAGTACGTAAATTGCTCGCGTTGCTCGCTGCTACCCTCCAGCGACGTGTACGACCGTTCCGTTCGTTTCGGAATGATAAATAGTTAACAGGGTAATTGCACGTTCGAATAATCGTGTTCACCAGCCGGTTCCGTTTGTTCGGAAACGTTTCAAGAAATGAGAGAGGAGGAACGGAGGGAAAAATTCAGTGAAATCGGAGCTGGAAGCAAACCGATTCCGATTATCGCGGGGACGGATCTCGAGCGGCGTTTGTTACGCCTCTCTCGTGATTCAGTGAAGGGTTGACTTTCCCCTGGAGGATATATGGCACGTACGATCGTTCAGCGTACGGAACATGTCGCGTCGATTTTTCAAACGTACGCGCGTCGGATTTTATCCGCGATTCGCCTCGCACGAGCGGGAATATCTGGGGCGTCGATGATCGATTTCTCAGACGTTGAATCGCGTCTATACCTTCGATAACGATCAGTTTACCCTCCTACGTTGCGAAATTTAGCGAAATTGCCATTTTAGCATTACGTTTCAGTGCCGTGGGCTGTTTAAAACACCAGTTAGTGTTGCATAGCGTCATGCGGCGCTTGATGTAACTGTATAGTAAGGTAAAAGTAAAAACTGCAGTTTATAGGTTCACGTGGTTTTGGTTTGATTGAAAAGAAAAGGAGAAGAAGCTTCGATAGCTTCGAAGCTTCGGCGCTATAATTGAACCAAAATTATTGTAAACAATTGAGCAGCGCGATCAGAAGCTGTGGTGCTATTTGACGCACGAATCTGAACAGCGCGATCGCATTGAGTGGCATTGAAACGATTAATTTCAACTTTCATCGCATTTGTGTCAACAATAATGAACAATTGTCTCTTGTCTTACATCTAAGTTTGATTTTATACCTACCTGTCTCATTAGCTAACTATATAACTATTTAACTATCTATCTATGCTTACATCTACCTCCTGTCTCAAACTTAGTTGTTTAATTATCCATTTCCTTTCACTCCTTTGTTCTCTCAACAACCTTATCATTTTACTTTGGCAGAAAGTTAATATTTGAAGACGATATATTTGCACGTACATTGAATCGTGCTTCTTACGTTTAGACCGTTAAACTTATCACGAGTCACAATCGATGTTATAGGTCAATGATGGCGAACCTATGACCCGCTGGTCAGACACTGACCCACTCGTTGATTTTTATAAACTTGTCATCATATATATAAAAGAATTTTAATTATCTTTCGAACCCCTCTTTTCAAAAAA